ATTCAAAAATACAATCCTTACGAATTTTTAAAAATGATGTTGCCGTCTCTACTCGCATTGACTTATTATACGATACTGATACTACGGAATGGCGTCACATAGTATTAGTCTTTTTACTGCTGTAACTTTGTTCATTTTAAAGATATTCAAATTTTGTTTGCACAGATCAGTTCCGATCGTTTTGAGCAATCAATTCAAAAACTAAAAAAAAAAGGGTAAAGTTCCCTATTACTTTGAAGTGATTATCTAAGATAAATCAAGCCTTTTTGTTTTCACAACTTCCTTGTGATTTAGATTACCAATACAAGTACCTATCACAAGCAGGAGTGTAAGGGAGACTAAGGTGGTGACAGGAACACCTCATAGTATCACATCCTGTCTTACAATTGCAGTTTTCCATGCCTCGCAACTCCTTCCACACAGAAGACAGCTCACTCCATTTGGGAGTCTATTTGTTGTTGCTCATCAAGGTCCAGCCCCAGTTTTCAAGAGATGGAGAAAGCGACCTGCCTCATATTTGTCCAGCTTGATAAGCTGCCCTTTTGGCTTGTTCCAGAACGCTACCTTGGGACGGAGGAGTTGAACTGAGTGGTCGCACTCCAGAGCAGAAAAGAGATTCTCGAGTCTCGTTCACACTAAAAGATTCACTAAAGAATGAAGGCTTTCACGGCCGGTCAAATCTAGTGAAAAACGGGCTATAATGCCGTGGTCCATTAGCATATCTACCTGGTAGAAATACTAATGGACCACGGCATTATAGCCCGGAAAAAACTTTTTTACTAGAACAGATTCACTGTTTATGTCGTATATAAGTATAGTGAATCTTTCTATGCCTTTTAAAACGTTAGCTGGAAAAATATAGCAGCTACTTCTACTACTCAAATATTCGAATGCTGTATTGACCTCTTCTATCCTCCAGGGTCCTTATTCTTGAAACAAGGGAGTAGCGTTCCCAGGAGTTCGAGTGTTCCGCCTTTGTCAATAATATGAAAATGTTAATATAGGTAACAAAGACAGAACCCTCGTTCTCCTAGGAACGCTGCTCCCCGGTTTTAAGAATAAAGATCCATGCCTGTTTTTGCTCCTGTTTGCAAAAAAAAAGTCACCGTGTCACAACCTGTGTTATGTGTACGCGTGTGCAATGCACTTATCACGTCCCACATTTGCTGCGATGGCATGACCAGCAATATATCCTTTGTTTTTTCCCGTTCCAAGTAGATACCGTAATTCGCAGAATATGAAGTATTTTTTTGCGAATAAGAATAATAAGATGTTTATGATAGCGGTGTTATTCGAGCGAATATATTATGACACTTTAGGACGCTTCTTGCGGTTTATATCGTTCATAGAGTCCAAGACGAGGTAGGAGTAGGCAAGGTTGGCAATTTTTGAAAACCTTTTACATTACTGAGTAGTATGCAGGTTTTGAAGGTCATTTCAACCTGAGAGTACTTTTTCTTTATGTAATATAGGAGGTAATCAAGTTTAGTCACAACAATATATTATTATCTGAAAGTAAAATTTTGGACGCCATTTCAAAAAAGTTGCGGTTTCAAGGTCATCGAAAGGTCACAGCGGTCTAAAACATTTTTTTAATTATTCTGCGTCCTCGGAATATATAGACTAGAGTATAATCATGCTTGTCTACACCGAATCAAAATTTAAATTAAAAAATTGGCCGCCATTTTGGAAAAATGGCGATTTTTTTAGTCTCAGTGAGAAAAGTCGATGGGTCTTCGACTCAAATTGATTAAAATGGCCTGCTTAGCAACTGTGCCAATTTTCATGCTTGTATCATCAAATGGCGTTTTCTCTTGAAAAAATCCCTGAAGCAACCAGTCTAATTTGCATATTTATTGATGAGAACTGTTTGTTTTGTTTGTTGTTTGGAAGGGCTTTTGGTAATTGTATGGAAGCAAGACGGTTGTATGGAGACGCATTTCCTAATCGACGATTACCACACCGTACGGTTTTCGCAAGAGTAGATCGTAATTTAAGGGAAAGAGGTAAATTCTAAAAATTGAGTAAAAATGTGTCGCATAATACCTACTCACATTTTACTCTAGGAACTTTTCAAAGACAGGAAGTTGTTGGGCGACCAAGGTCGTATTGAAGAAGATCCATCTTTAAGTACTCGCATCATCGCAAATCAAGGAGGGTCCTCTCAGTCAATTGTATGGAGACTTTTGCACGAGATGCTATTATACCCTTACCATATTCAACGGGTTCAGGCATTGGAAGAGCGAGATTTTGCTCCCCGTGTACAATTTTGTGATTGGCTGGAAAAACAACGCGTTGCTGTTGAACATTTTGAAAACAAAATTTTATTTACCGGCAAGCCGGCTTTACAAGAAATGGAATTTTCAATTCCCATAACAACCACGTACGGGCGGATGGGAATCCCCATTTTACGGTACAGAAAGGACATCAGCAGCAATTTAGTTTAAATGTGTAGGCGGGAATTATCGATGTCCATTTGATAGGACCCGTATTTTTACCGCAGCGGCTAAATGGAGAAAACTACACAATTTTTTTACGAGATAATTTACCAGTACTATTAAAAAATCTGCCACTTTTATTTCGAGCACAAATGTGATTTATGCACCTTTTGAATAATGCCTACTAAAGCCGTTGGATAGGTCGTGAAGGTCCTGTGTTATGGCCCCCACGGTCTCCTGACCTAAACCCTCTCGATTTTTATTTATGGGGACACATAATACAGCTAGTTTATTGCCACCCAATACCTAATATCAATGTTCTCAGACAAAGAATAGAGGATGCATTTCAAACAATTAGAAACAATCCAAGAATTCTACCACGTGTGCATCGTAATCCAGTAAAAAGATAGCAGCTTGTCGTGATGCTAATGGTAATAATTTTGAATATTTCCTCTAAATTGTTAGATTGTGTGTTCTTTTTTTTCCATTGCAATGCAGAGTAGTTTTCATAAATAAACATACGCAAATCAGAACATTTTCAAAGTCAATTTTATCGTAAACGGTATACTGTATAGAATTAAACGAAGAGTACCTTTTCTGTGTAAAAAACTCTAAACTTCCCGAATTTTTAATCAGAATCGCAAAAACCTGACGAGTAAAAAAAATACGGACGTTTTAACCCTCACCCTCCCCAGTATGTGACGCCACTGATTGAGATTTTTGAATTTTCAATTTAGTATCTTAATTGCCATCAAATGTTTATGAAATACACCAATTTTAAAAATCCATTTGTAAAGGGTGTCGAAGTTGTAGAGAAAAATACGTCTTTCAGGTGTCCTATTCGAAGGGGCGTAGCTCCCTTAGGAAGCATTTCCGGACCCATGCTAATAGGAACTTTTTGTCTTATTTTTATGCAAGGAATACGCCCCCGAAAGGATGGCGCTTATTTCTGAATCACCCTGTATAGATAATAATAAAAAACTTTTGCCTCTACCATTGAACAGGGTTATAACACTAGAAAAAAATGCAATAGCTGGGCCTCATCTGAAAAAAGTGTAGGTCAAAGATACTTCACTTATCTAAGCCCTATTATATTTCAGAAAATCTAACTCCTTCTAGAAACTGCAGAATCAGTTTCGATATTTTGAAAAAACTGTAAAATATTATTTATTAAAAAATTGAAGAAGAGAAATATATAAAGGGTGTCCCAAAAAGATACCGACAAACTTTAAGGGGTAGTAGGGGACATCAAAACAAGCATTTTTGTTTATATAAACATATGTCCGCAAATGAGCCATTTGGGCTGTAGAGCAAAAAAACTGTTTGGTACCTAGTTTTATTCTTCCCAAGAATTAAATTACTGTTTACCTATTAATTTTGCTTTATTGACAAATAAATTAAGGTTTACAATAATTGTTCACCTCGCGAACTCTTTGGAATATTCCGGGAATAGCTTCTACATGGGTATAACTCGCCAGTATCCTTGCTAACAGATCTTCCTCATTACGAATAGGTGTTTTGTAGACTAAAATTTTCAGTCAATGACCCGACGGTGTAATCTTTGCATTGAAGTAAATGGTCAACATTTTGAACAATTATTGTAAACCATAATTTATTTGATAATAAAGCAAAATTAATAAGTAACAGTGATTTAATTATTGCGAAGAATAAAAGTATCAAACAGTTTTTTTGCTCTACAGCCCAAATGGCTCATTTGCGGACATATGTTTATATAAACAAAAATGCTTGTTTTGATGTCCCCTACTACCCCTTAAAGTTTGTCGGTATCTTTTTGGGACACCCTGTATACCTACTACTAATAGTATACCTACTACTAAATTCTTTATAATTTTAATAATAATAAAAAATGTCCATTTTCATTCCAGACTATTCTCATGCCTCATCAGTGGATGGAAGGAAACCTCGCGGTATTATCGAAATGCGCAGTTTGCAATGCTGTTTGTGGTTCAGTTCTCAGGTAAGTTTTGGATATTCATGGTGGCTTTTGACAACCGATAAATGTATGTATTGGACATATTAACAAGAATTAAGAATTCTTCATTAACGAACTTACTCGGCAGTAACAACAAGGGTGGTTTTCAAATGCTAAAAAACCTCTATGAAATGGCATGATTTTAAAAAGAAACACCTAAAGGAAGTAGGTTAAATTGTCCACAATCTTATAACTAGCTATACAGACATTTAAGGAAATTTGAATTGATTGAGCCAATACCTGGTGAAAATTAAACTTTATGGTTGGTAAAATCGTTGATTTTCACTACATTTTATTACAGCAGTAATATGTTTCACTAACTTTAGCTTCATTCTTCATCAGACTGACTTAAACAATTCATTAATCTCTAAACGTAAACGAATATAAACAGGTACCTACCTACCATTGCGATCAAAAAAAAGTAGGACAAAAATTATTAATCCCGATTTGAGCTTCCGGTGTAACATACAAATGATAGTAAATAAATATTTCAAAATATGTAAGGTTCGGACAACACCTGATCTTCGAATATTTGTTAGTCCCTAGAATAATCTTCACAAAATGCTAAAATGCAATCGTATTTCTCAAAAGAGAAGATGTTGCTGATCTCAAGGCCTACAGACCAATTAGGCTGTTGTCTCATGTATAGCTACAAATACTTCACCAAAATCCTAATGAAACGTTTTAAGAGAGATGAGAGAATATTATATTTCTTGTATGTCGCATTTTCATTTCTTGCAGCATTTTTTGAAAATATAATATATTTTTCTTTTTCAGTCTTTGCGACTGGCGATGCTTATGGTGTCACGCAACTGTTCATACGCACTGCAGGTTAAACACGCAAAAACAGTGTCCGTTAGGTCCTGCTAGAGTCAGTGTGGTTCCTCCTACAGCTCTTCATTCGGTACAAGATGAAGCTTGGGAAGTTGTTCGACCACAGGCATCTAGTCCGCTTTTGGTATTCGTCAATTCTAAATCAGGTAAGCTTATTTAAATAAGTACAAATTTTCATCCCTACAGCATGACTTTTTGGTCTAAAGCTACGCGATTCGGCAAGTGGAAGCAGAACCTACTTCAGATAGGCGATATAAAAGATAACTTAAAGAATCAAATGCAAATATTTCGAAAGCGGCTAAATATACTTTTTTCCAAAGTTGAAATATTTACAAAGTACATACATAGTTTTGAATCTAGGAAAGATGAAACCGTTTTTTACGCGTATAGGGTGCATCAAGTTCAAGGCGTATCATTCGGATCTCGTAAATCGTATAAGATATAGTCCGTTGCCTGGTTCTTGAGCTACGGCTACTGAATAGTCAGAGGGGACAATGGGCTATTGCTGCGTTGTCATATCGATAATATTTATTAATACATGAAAATTGCAATAAAATTTCCTTCATTTTCATGTTATAATAAATATTATTGATATGACAACGCAGCAATGGCCCATTGTTCCCTCTGTCTATTCAGTAGTCGTAGCTCAAGAACCATGCAACGGACTAGTTGGTTGAATGGTGGCAAAGCTGGGCTGCGAATTTTTCTCTTCTACAATGGCGTTGAGGGAACATATGTATGAATTTATTGGGAGTGAAGGAGATAAAAACAGGTATCATTTTTGGGAACTTGTCAAGGCTACGTTCACCACAACCAAAACGGATTGTAAACAGTTTACAAATACCAACAGAATGTGTTGGGTAAACTCTTCGTTCTGCTGAACGATTCAACTTTTCAATGATAGAACGTCACCCTCTGAATGACAGGTCACCACGCAAAACACAGTGTTGAAAATTATAAACACTCTGACATAATGCTTGCAAAAATGGCGACCGTTTGTGAAACATGTTTTGTTTTACCACAAATTCAACGTAGCGTTCAGCAGAACAATCGCAAACCGTTTACCAACGTTTGTATCTGGTGAACGCGGCCCAAGGCACTTATTTACCGCGAATTTTCAAATTTAAAACATTTGCAAATCAAACCAGCACTGTACGTAAATCAAACAAAACAACCAATTAAGGCAATTAATTCTACTAACTAATAATAATTAATACCCCAAAATGCAGTCTCGCTGCATGCAAAAAATGCAATTTGAACGAAGGCAAAAAATAAAAATAAACTAAAATAATATACCTAAATTAATAAAGAAAAAGAAAAAAAAAGTAAGCGAGAATGGAACACTTACCTCAGAAAAAACGTGGGACCCCCAATCACAAAATAGAGGCACACAATTAGATAAAAAAATTAAAATATAATATTTTCATTCTCCCCCCTACGAAAATAGATTTTTTATCTTGTATAGGCAAGCGAAAGCGAAAGTGAAATATGCTAGTGCCTACTTTCACTTTCGCTACTAGCATGTTGCACTTTCGCATGCCTATTCACGATTTTTGAAGGAGAAGAATGAAAAGTTCAATACATTAGACGCTGCAAAAGCCCTTTTCATTCTCCCCCCTACGAAAGTAGATTTTTCTATCTTGCAGAGGCGAGCAAAAGCGAACGTGAAACATGCTAGTAGTTACTTTCACTTTCGCTACTAGCCTGTTTCACTTTCGCATGCCTATTCACGATTTTTGAAGGGGAAGAATGAAAAGTTTAATACATTACACGCTGCAAAAGGCCTTTTGGGTGCTCGGAATACACCTGGCACCTAAAAGTACGCTTTCGCAGCTTGTCAATAACTATTATATTTCAAAGGTAGATAACATAAGATTTATCACTCAACAGTGATACGATAGTATACACTGATGGTAAAATAGATTGAGGAATTATTGAGGAAAAATCTAGAAATCTGAAGGAGAAAATTACAATAATGAAAATCAACTTGCTTGCTCGGCTACTTCCAGAAAAGAGAGCGTTTTAGAAGCAAAACCCTCCAGGAAAACGAGTTTCGTGTTTTTTATACTTAACTGCGTATTAACTAGATCGAACCAATCAGAAGACAGCACACACCACCACACACAAAAGACCGTATTCACTTCATCAATGAAAAACCATGCTGATTAAAAGGGAATAGATAAAAACACACTAGAATTATTTTAATTGATTACAAATTACAATAATTTAAATTAAGGTTATGTTGAAAACAGAAAACCACTAATTAATAATTAGGTCATTAAGCCAAAAATAATTATTTCAGAATCAGAAGTTAGAGAAAGACAGAAATATATCTATTTGCTAAAAGAGAGATAAATATAATTTCTTTAAATGAGAATACGAATGACTGTCAATGAGAAATATTGAAAATAATATTTAAAAAAATAAATTTATCAGGTACTATATGGCGGTACCTTCTTGTAATAACAGGTATTTGCATTCTTATACTCATCATGGATAGATAGCAGTACTGACATTATATTGAATTAATTGAATTTTGTAGATACTTTTAAATTACTTAAATTATGAATTATTATTTTGCTGATTCTGAAATGGCAAAAATACAATTTTATAATGAAAATTAGAAGAAATGAAACATGTTACGAAAATGATAAATTTATTGTAACAAACCTTAATTTTTTTGGAGAAATACAAGTCTTGAACCAAAGCTCCAACACACTGCTAATACTCATACAAATCAGAGCAATACAAACTCATCGTATGAGTGAATTGCAGTGTGTCAGAGCTTTGGTTTTGTAATAGCTTAGGTTATCGGGACATTGTTGGGAAAATGATACGCTCAAGTCAACGGTTTAAAGTAGAATCTATTCAATATAATTTAACAATAATAAAGTTAAGTCTATTATTGAAACTGCAACATAGACATAATTACCTTAGTTACAATGAACCTTAAATCTAATGCCAAGAAAGCTGTGCTGAGCATTTTGCAATAATATAAGTTTCGTGGTGATATGCAGTTGAATTTAGAGTTTTCACGCCCAATAATTTACAAGAATCCTGAAAAACATTAGCTGAAAATTCTGCAATATTTGCCAAGAAAGCTGTGCTGAGCATTTTGCAATAATATAAGTTTCGTGGTGATATGCAGTTGAATTTAGAGTTTTCACGCCCAATAATTTACAAGAATCCTGAAAAACATTAGCTGAAAATTCTTTGCCTTGATCTGTAACTACTACTTGTGGAATACCGTACCTTAAAATAAAATTTTCATTAAAAGCTTTAGATACATTTATTGGTTCCTTACTTGGTAAAGGATAACATTCAATAAATTTTGTCAATTCACACTGTATAGTTAAAATATAAGAATTATTGTCTAAGTCAGTTTGTATAGGACCTACTAAATCAAGAAATATTTTTTCAAAAGCTGAAGTAGCTGTAGAAGTTATTGTTAAAGGTTGCTTATTTCTTTATTCCTTTGGCATTGGTCGCATTTTCTAACAAAATTCTCTACATCTTTTCTCAAACCTGACCAAAAATAATATTTCTTAATATTAATAAACATCCTGTTTGAACCTGAATGTCCTCCTGTAAGAAGGTTATGAAAATCATTGAGTATCAGTTGCCTCATTTCTTTACTTTCTATGTTTTCCACATTTTTAATAACACATATTTTAATCCCATTTTCTACAATTGTATTTTAATACTGGGATAATTCTTTTATAAACTCCTTATTCAGGTGATTTTTAATTATGCATAATTCTGTAATATTATATTTTGTGCACATAACACCAAGATTCCTCAACGATGTACCTAGGTCATGCGTCGATCGGTAATCTTGACAAAGAAAAATTACTTGAGATATCTCGTCAAATATAAGTTTTTTACTGCAGTATATTTTATCATTATTATTAATTTTATTTTTATATTCTATAAATAGATTTTCATCTATCGGTCGCAATTCGACACTATTGGGCCTTTCCTCAGTAGAGCTTATTAAATCTTCCTGTTCCGACACATTCTGTTTTTTCGCTTGTACTCGTGTAATCACATTCATACTTCCATTTATTCCTTCGGTCATTTCCTTTAATTCACTCATACCTATTTTTATACGAGATAAAGCATCTGCCGTTACATTATGTGAACCCTTAATGTAATGAATACTGAAATCGTATTCTTCCAAAATTAATCTGAACTTTGTTAACCTACTTGACCGATTCGTCATGCCAAATAAATAAATTAATGGCCTATGGTCCGTATAAATATCAAATTTTTGTTCACTCCAATTAAAAACTATTCCTTTTCGTGATAATTCATTGAGCGGCTGAGCAATTTGAGCAAAATTTTTTATAAATTTTCGATAGTAATTAGCAAAAGCAACAAAACGTTTTGTTTCATCAGCATTTTGCGGTATAGGATATTGAGAGATTACGTTGGATTTTTCTGGGTCTGGAGATATACCCTCTGATGAAATTATATGACCTAAATATAAAATTTGTTTTTTGAGAAAATCAAATTTTTGCGGGTTAAGTTTTAAATTTACTTCCCTAAGCCTCTGCAAAACTTTAGTGAGATTTATATTATGCTTTTGTAAAGAATTGCCAAAAATTATTAAATCATCCAAATAGATAAAACAAGATTCATAGTTTAACCCTGAAAATGCTACAGTCATAAGTCTAGAAAATGCACTTGGACTTATTTTTAATCCCATTGGAAGTCTCTTCATTTGAAATTGACCCTCATTTGTAGTAAAAGCGGTATAAGGTCTACTATCTTTATGCAATTCCAATTGATAATACCCTTGTGACAAGTCAAGATGGGAAAAGTAAACTGCTCCAGATAAAGAGTCTAATATTTCAGAAATACAAGGCAAACTGGCACAGAGTTTTCGTTTAACTGAATTTTTTGTTTATAGAGATTAGTAACCGTAAGAGGATCACTTCAAAAATTTGCTATTGGCTCTAAGTTGGGTTTGAAATTTTAAATATTTATGTCATGATCGTTAACGTTTAGAAATCTAACAGCTATTTCGTCATTTCCAGTTTTACCTATTGTTCCTGCAACAATCACGCCTTCACACAATTCTTCAGATAAAATAACATATTCACCATCATAATCAGCTTTACAAAATTTTATCGCTTCGCTTCTG